GCTTATGGGAGATTCTAAAGAAAAATTGCAAAGGTTAGTGGACGAGTTTGGGAGAGTGCGTAAAGGTAGAAAGTTGAAAGTGAACATAGAAAAGAGTAAGATGATGAGGATATCAAATGATTTAGATAAAGAAAAAATGGATATCAAATTGGAGAGGAGTATGGAAGAAGTGAATGTTTTCAGATATTTGGGAGTTGACGTGTCAGCGGATGGATTTATGAAGGATGAGGTTAATCATGGAATTGATGAAGGAAAAAAGGTAAGTGGTGCATTGAGGTATATGTGGACACAAAAAAACGTTATCTATAGAGGCAAAGAAGGGAATGTATGAAAGTATAGTGGTACCAACACTCATGGGTGTGAAGCTTGGGTTGTAAATGCTACAGCGAGGAGACAGTTGGAGGCAGTGGAGATGTCCTGTCTAAGGGCAATGTGTGGTGTAAATATTATGCAGAAAATTCGGAGTGTGGAAATTAGAAGGTGTGGAGTTAATGAAAGTATTAGAGGGCTGAAGAGGGGTTGTTGAAGTGGTTTGGTCATTTAGAGAGAATGGATCAAAGTAGAATGACATGGAGAGTGTATAAATCTGTAGGGGAAGGAAGGTCGGGTTGTCCTCGAAAAGGTTGGAGGGAGGGGGTAAAGGAGGTTTCATGGGTGAGGGGCTTGGACTTCCAGCAAGCATGCATGAGCGTGTTAGATAGGAGTGAATGGAGACGAATGGTATTTGGGACCTGACGAGCTGTTGGAGTGTGAGCAGGGTAATATTTAGTGAAGGGATTCAGGGAAACCGGTTATTTTTATATAGCTGGACTTGAGTCTTGGAAATGGGAAGTACAATGCCTGCACTTTAAAGGAGGGGTTTGGGATATTGACAGTTTGGAGGGATATGGTGTGTGTCTTTATACGTATATGCTTCTACACTTGTATTCTGAGCACCTCTGCAAAAACAGTGATTATGTGTGAGTGAGGTGAAAGTGTTGAATGATGAAAGTATTTTCTTTTGGGGGATTTTCTTTCTTTTTGAGTCACCCTGCTTCGGTGGAAGATGGCCAACTTGATAAAAAAAAAAAAATAGATTAAACATTGCAAATGGAACTCCACAAGCATAACTCTTCCCCTGTAGCCATTGATAGGTACTAATCACAAATAGGTGACCTGTAGCTTTGTGGTAAGTGTTTGGCTAACAACCAAAAGGACCCCAGGTTTGATTAATGTGGTGCATCTGAGAGTAGTACATCTTACATAGTGTGAGGGTTTGTTTAAATGAGCTGAGACAAGATAATGGTTCTAAGCCTGTAAAATGAAGTGTGAAAAAAACTTGCATACAGTGTATTTAGTACAGCCTCTCCTCACTTAATGACGGAGTTCCGTTCCTAAGACCACATTGTTAAACGAATTCGTCGCTAAGTGAGGGGCATACTATTTATTTATTTAGAAATTTTAGCATACATACAGAGGTACAAAAAAAATACAGGTAAGAGCAGCATGCCAAAGCCACTTATATGCATAGCATTACGGGCTGGCTTAAAATTAACTTAAGATTAACTAAGCAATGATGAAATCAGTGATAAGACATTATTGTAAACAGATAACTATAAAGCACAAATGAGTATTACAAAGACAGGTCATATGGTTGCATGCATTGCTGTACATTCAGTAGAATGGAGTATTCTGTTAGATAGTGTATTTAAAAAAATAACAAAGTTAGATTGGGTCCTAGGTTTAACATTTATGTGATATAATTGTGAGTAACATTTTGGATATACAATTTATAAGGTTCAGTTATTTAGTATTTATTTGGTTTTGAGTGAGTAAGTGAACTTTGAGAAGAGACTTGAATTTATAAACAGGTAGTGTTTCTTTTATATTTACAGGTAATGAATTCCAGATTTTAGGGCCTTTTATGTGCATTGAGTTTTTGCATAGCGTGAGACGGACACGAGGAACATCAAAGAGTGATCTGTGCCTTGTGTTATGGTCATGTGTTCTGTTGAGGTTGGCAAGGAGATGTTTGAGGGGAGGGTTAATATCAGAGTTAAGTGTTCTATGTATGTAATAGGTGCAATAATAAGTATGGATGTTTTGTATGGTGAGTAGGTGGAGTGTTTTGAATATTGGTGGAGTGTGTTGCCTGTAGTGAGAATTTGTTATCATTCTAACTGCAGCCTTTTGTTGGGTAATTAGTGGTCTGAGATGGTTAATTGTTGTTGAGCCCCATGCACAAATTCCATAGGTGAGATAGGGGTAAATAAGAGAGTGATAAAGGGCCAGGAGGGCTGACTGTGGAACATAGTACCGTATCTTTGATAGTATGCCTACAGTCTTGGAAATTTTCTAAGTTTGTTAGTCCTCATCCAGGTAGATATTTTCTGTAATTCGGTGTTTACAGTATTGGCTAACGTGACTGGGCTTGGGTGAGAGAAGACGTATGTAGTGTCATCTGCAAAAAGTGTGGGTTTGAGTAATTGCGAAGCATTTGGTAGGTCATTTATGTATAGGAGAAAGAGAAGAGGGCCAAGGACACTTCCCTGTGGGACACCAACTGTAATAGGTTGTGCGGAAGAGCTTGCCCCATTTGCGTACACATATTGGCTTCTGTTGCTGAGGTAAGATTTGAGGTAGTTGAGGGAGTGCCCTCTAATACCATAGTGTGACAATTTTACGTGGAGCAAGTCATGGTCAACTGTATCAAAAGCTTTACGTAAGTCAATGAAGATGCCCAGTGGGACTTCTTTTTTTCTCTATTGCAGTGTATATATGTTCTAGCATGTGTATAATAGCATCATTAGTATTTTTATTAGGCCTGAATCCAAATTGGCAGGGGTTGAGAATGTTTTGGGAGATGAGGTAGGAGTAGATTCGTTTATGAATTAATTTTTCGAAGATTTTTGAGAGAGGGTGTAAATTGGATATTGGCCTATAGTTATTCAACTCTGTTTGGTCTCCTCCTTTATGGATCGGGGTGACCCTTGCTATTTTGAGAACTGTAGGGAAGGTGGAGGATTCAATGGATTTGTTAAAGAGTGTTGCAATGATTGGTGATAGTACTTGTGACGCTTTTTTGTATATAAAGGGTGGTAAGGTATTTAAATCTCCTGCCTTGTTTTTCAGTGCGTTGATAATAAGGGAGACTTCGTATGGGTTAGTCGGAGCTAGGAACAGTGTGTTCGGGTAGTTGCCAGTGAGGTAGTCATTTGGTGGGGTATCTGAGCTTGGGATTTTATTGGCAAGGTTTTGACCTATAGTGGAGAAGAAATCATTGAGTCTGTTTGCTGTTTCTGTTGGTGGGAGTTGGGGTTCATCTGATTTTGCTAATTTTATTTCGCTATGTCGTGATATCTTTTTTGTTCCCAGAATTTCTGATAGGGTCTTCCAGGTCTTTTTTATATCACCTCGTAAGTTGGATAATCTGTTCTCATAATACAATTTTTTTGCCCTTCTTATCAGGCTGGTTAGGATTGACGAGTAACGTTTTGTTTGGTCTCTGGTTATGTGACCCATTCTGTACTGTTTTTCATATCGGTGTTTTGTATTTATGGATTTGAGAATGCTGGGTGTTAGCCAGGGACTGTTCAGTCTCTTAGCTGTCATCTGTTTAGTTTTTTTTAGGGCAGTGCTTGTTATAAAGGTATTGGGTCTTTTTTAGAAAATTATTAAAACATTCGTCAATATCTGTATAGATTTCTAGCTCAGTGTGCCAGTCAATGTTTGTTACTGCTGTTGTGAAGTTATTAATGGCTGCCTCATTGTGAAGTCTGAAGGTGACTTTAGTAGTGTCTTGGGGTATTTTACCAAGAGTTGTTATGAGGAAAGTAGGGTAGTGGTCTGTGGTATTATCTGTAATTATGCCTGATTTTAAAGGGGATATGGTATTGGTCCAGATGTGGTCAAGTAGGGAAACACTAGTCTCTGTAACTCTTGTAGGTTTTGTTACTGTTGGTAGCAACATGCAGTTACTCATTGTGTTTGTGAATTCAGTAACGTGTGGGTCCTGGTCTTGCAGGAGATTTATATTGAAGTCACCTGAGAGTAGTAAGTGATCTTTGTTCATGCGTGCATCAGTTGTCATACTTCCTAGGTTTTGACTAAATTGGCTAATGTTTGATTGTGGAACTCTGTAGATGTTTATCACTGTGAGAGGTTTTTGTAGGTATTTGGATTTGAATTTAGCTATTATATATTCCCCATGTTCATCCCTTGTGCAAGTATTAGTGATAAATTCTAGTTGGTCTGAGTAGTATATAGCAGTGCCACCCCCCTTGTTGGTCTGGCCTACAGTTGTGTATGGCTGTGTAACCAGGAATGGCATAGACATCTGTAGTGTCAGGCTTTAGCCAGGTTTCAGTTAGTGTAATGATGGACATATTGGCATGCAAGGAATTTAGTAATGCTAGGTCATCATAATGCTTGCTTAAAGATCTGATATTGTAGTTAAAGATAGTTATGTTGTTGTTTGCTCTGAGAAGTGCCTTTGATTGTTCTGCTGTGTAGTAATTACAGTAACTGTTTGAATCATTTATGTCATTAAATAAGAGGTTGGTATCAGGATCAATGCTTGTAATCATAAGATTTGTAGTGAATCTATAGTTAGAATTAAGTAAAAAATAAAGTAAATATTCTAAAGCTAAAAAAAAAATAGCACCTGAATTATTTAACAAATGTAAAAATAATGAGCTAAGTGGTAGTTTGTGTCAACCATCTTTGATATTGTTTTCATGTCACCTTTGCACCATTTATAACATTTCTGGTATATTTTTAAATGTTTATACAGTAGTGTACTGAATATTGAAATAAACAGAATAGAGGACATCAGCTGTGATATGAATCCTGGTCAGAGAGCCCATCGTAAGTCCGAGGCGTCGGTAAATGAGTACATCAGTAAGTGAGGAGAGGCTGTATTTATATGTTCAGTAGTTAGAAGAATGTGTGCAGTACTCTACATCACTTCCTCTGTGGTCATCGGGTTTATATAGCATTATAAAACTGTTGAACATTTTCAGCTCTCATCTGAAACGGCTCTCTACCTTAGATTCATCCTGGGTCTTTAGTTCTCAGAATGGTCTAAATGCACATAACCATCCTGCCTGGCTCACACTCTATTTGTCAGCCTGCAAACTTCTAGACCTTATGCTGGCTCTTCCTGCACAGCATTTACCACAGTTCCAAATGTAAGTGTCCAAAGAAAACCTTTATTCCAAAACAGATGATATAGCATTTAATGTTCAATGTAATACAAGAAACTAGTACAGTGGAACCTCAAATATCAAACTTTTTTCATTCCAGACGGCTGTTCGAGTGCTGTTACCGAACGAATTTATTCCTATCAGGAATAATGTAAATTAGATTAGTTCATTTCAGACCCTCAAAAATACAGTGGACCCCCGACGTACGATGTCCCCAACCTACGTTAAAACCGACCTATGATGCGTTTCAGCGTAAAAATTTGACCCCGACGTACATTGAAAAACTCGACCTACAGCATTCGTCCAGTACCTGTCCACATGTCTGTCTGCCTGAGTGCACCTCAGCTGGCCTGCCTTCAGTTAGTGTGCCAATGTTTACAAGCCAGAGAAGTCGCTCCCAAGCATACATTTGGAATATTTTGTATTATTCCATTGTTTTTAGTGCTTCTAACTGTTAAATAAGCCACCATGAGCCCAAAGAAAGCTTCTAGTTCCAACCCTGTGGTAAAAAGGGTGAGAAATACTATCGTACCACGGTCAGCTGCCGCTGCACCATGGTCTGCTGCTGCACCATGGTCAGCTGCTGCTGCTGTAGCACTGTCAGCTGCTGCTGCACCACCGTTGTTGGTGTGGCTTATCGAGAATACTGAAAAACAATTAACCCCAGAGGGTTAGCCACCTAGGATAACCCAAGAAAGTCAGCGTGTCATCGAGGACTGTCCAACTTATTTCCATTGGGGTCCTTAATCTTGTCTCCCAGGATGCGACCCACACCAGTCGACTAACACCCAGGTGAACAGGAAAAATACCTGGAACTAGTGCTCATGTTGGTGAATTTAAGGCCAGCAAAGGTTGGTTTGAGAGATTTAAGAATCGTAGTGGCATACACAGTGTGATAAGGCCTGTTCTAGAAGAAAATGCTAAACAGGGCCTACATTACTCAGGAGGAAAAGGCACTCCCAGGACACGAACAGTGTCTCATCACTACATCTTCAATAAAGGTGTCATTTATTCATCATTTAGTAGAGTAGTACATGCACAATATATATTGTGTATGTATTACTCTACTATTGTGCATGTATCCATCTTTTTGTGTGTAGGAAAATGTATATTTCATGTAGTAAAAAAAAAATTTTTTTCATACTTTTGGGTGTCTTGCACAGATTAATTTAATTTCCATTATTTCTTATGGGGAAAATTAATTCAACCTACGATCATTTCATCTTACGATGGGCTCTCAGGAACGGATTAATATCATAAGTCACGGGTCTACTGTACACCTATATTATTATTATAATCAAAAAGAAGCGCTAAGCCACAAGGGCTATACAGCTGTACACCTATAAAAGCACTTACAAAAATACACTTACATATTTGGTTGAGTTGGGAGCAGATCGATATTTGAGGTTCCACTGTACTTGGTTTTGAGATTTATACAATTGTGCAAATTAAATTTTTAATGAGTTTCAGTACTATCATTTTCAAAATCAAAATTTAACAACTTTTATTAAAGTACAATATTCTCTGATATTTTAAACTTGGTGCATAAGTCAACCCAATTTTTCATCTAATAATTCTGACTGAGACCTTACAACTAGGGAAAGGGAGTGTCAGTTTATATGGTGGATATAGAACAGCAAATTCAGCTTCAGAAGTTGACTTGTATGCCCCAATCTTTATTACACTTAATGCTCACACCATAACTGTTTGACTATAAATCTTAATTATTTTTAGGTATCGTTGGGCATTTGTGGGTCCCATTCCAACCTCAGGCACTGAGGAAAAAAATGAAGGAGCTGGAAACATTCTCCTAAAGAGTTGTGATTTTGTGCCTCATATTGCTCGTATTGCCAAGCTCATGGCAGACAAGGTTTGTGTAACTTTATTTACGGTACTGGTAAGGCATTCACACAGCATGCCCCATGAATGGAATAACTGATGAATTATGGCATGAGATTCTAAGCTGAACTATTAAATGAATTGTCTGACAGTCATATCTGCATGCCTCTGCAAAGACAGTGATTATGTGTGAATGATGTTGAAAGTGTTGAATGATGGTGAAAGTGTTTCTTTTTTTGATCACCCTGCCTCGGTAGGAGTTGGCCAGCGTGTTGAAAAGAAAGGTTGCCTGTGAAAGTACTCCTTAGAAGAAAGTGAAGTGTTTTGCTCTCATATTAGCGTACAGTATATGCTTCCTAGGTAACACTCACAGTGCAGCATCAAAAAAGGAAGCTGCATCAATTTTCAGAGGTTTTAGTGCATTAGGCACCCTATTATATGAGAGGGGGGACAAAATGTTTGAATGCAAAACATGAATTAAATAGCATACAAAACAGGCAATATGAACTTTTGAGCATAATGCTGATAATTTCACAATGACTTAAAAATAGAGAGAGAGAGAGACAGAGAGAGGAAACCATTATTTAACAAAGACAAAAAACAGTATCATTATCCCATGTCACATGGCCTCTTTAGCATTAAAAAAGGCTACATATGGCATACTGATTCTATGACTTTAAATTTTGAGTGGAATTTATAAAAGAAAGTAGTTATGTTAAATAATTCCTCTGCTTTGATTTTAGACTGGGAATAAAGACACTAGGACCCTGGAGCACCATCCCGGCCAACTAATGCTGACTGTATCCAGTATCTCAACACTTGTGGATTTGCAGCCCTTTTTTAATACTCTTGTGTTGCCAACTTTCACCCCTGCTACAGCTACAGTGGGGCAGACCTTCAGTGGAAGCCATGTGTCTTTTTCATCTTCTGTGTCATCTGGTACACAACAAGGTTCTACTGCAACTTCAGTATTGTCCTCAAATTTTGCTCACATTGAAGCAGTCATTGAAAGGGATTTCTTAGAACCATTGCCTTCATAGCAGATATATAGGTACAGTACTGTATTGTATATATTATATTATATTTGCTGTGATTATATTTGCTTTTGAAATATAGGGTCTCAAGTTTTGTAGACAATAAAACTTGTGTATATTCTTGGTTTAGTTATCCAGGATCCCAATAATTGTAACATTTTAGGTTAAGACATGTTACTGTATTGTCATGCACACATATACACATACAAATTTCCTTATACACAAACATATTCACTCACTTAAGCTAGAGAAAGTCCAAAGAGGAGCTACAAAATATGGGTCTTAGAGCTAAACAGTGGGGTATGAAAAAAAGGATGAAAGCATTGGAAATGCCATCTTTGGGAGCTGATGAGACATAACTGCTTTCAAGATTTAAAAAAAAAAAATACCAATGAACTGGCAAGGATTTCATAACCTCAATAACTGGCATAACAAGAGGCCACTAATACAAATTTCAGAAGAGCTGTCAAAAGGACACTAAAATTTTTCTTTGTAAACTGGGAGATAAATAGAATGGGCTACAGGAGGAAGCAGCAAGTCTGCAACCACTGGTAACTTAAAAAAAAAAAAAAAACTTATGATGAGCTAAGTACTGAAGATGGTACAGCATGAGCTTAGCACTGCTCTTGTAACTACAAACAGGTAATCACTTGTTGATCACCCAGAAAAAACTCCAGGAATTTCATTATATGTACCTGTATGTTGTGAGAAATATGTTGTGTGTAGAGGAGATAAATAATCAAAATGAAAGTGAAAACTGTATTTCAAGTTCCAAAAGAGCCCAAAGGAGTACAGTGAATCCCTTGAAGGTTTCTAGATGTCAGAGAGGGGCTCTTGATCCAAGAAATCGGACTTATCCTCCCCCTCCTTGGATCGAACCTGATTTCCCTCCTATATCCCCAGGCGTTATGACCTCTAGGGTTTAAGGCTGAAAGTTTTTTTTCTTTTTGGGTCTCTGTGGGAAGCAGCTGACGTGTTAAAAAAAAAAAAATAACTTGCATAGTGAAATGAGAGAATTAGGTTAAAAGTTGGAATTAGAAATCTTGGAAGCCTCATGAGAGTATATGCAAGAAAGATTACTCTGAAGAAAAGAAATAACTGAAGAAGTCTGGGAATAAGTGAGAAAATTAATTTAAGAAAATAGCATTGCTGGTGACAACTGGCAGTTGTCATCAGCTGAACCAGCAACTGATATTGTCAGGATTCAAAATTATTTTTTGCCAAACCACCACAGTCTACATTGCAGTAGGAGTGTAGAACTTTAGTGAGTGTTCAGGAGCTAGAGTTGATTTATTATTAAGCTTTAAACTGTCCAAACGTAGATCTATGTTCACTCACGTGGCACTCCGAATTTTTTGAAAAAAAAAAAAAAAAAAATTCTTTTAAAATGAAGAGCACATTTTTCTATGTGTTATAGGATAAAAAAAAATTTTTAGGGTCAGTACTTACCGAGATATAAGACCGTAAATGGCTCTGAATGCTCACCTGATGGCAACATCGACTCCTGCCTCTTGCAGAAGTGTTGCCAATATACCTTTTTTTCTCGTTTTTATTTTAATTTATATATTTTTTATGTTCTGATAATTACAATTTATAATCTTGTAATTTCATAGCCAATTTTTGTTCTGACACTAATATTAGGTACTGAAATAGTGCTCAAATAGTCACAATCACATTGACAGGTGAACATTTACACCTGCTTGGTTATTTACTATTGTCTAGAAATATACAAAGTATTTATAGGTCCCAGCAATGTTTTAGATACCCTGGCGTATACCTTGAAGCATGTTGTTATGAAAGGCATCCCTATACTGTTGACAGCCCATTGACATTTGATAAATGCCCACTGCTCCAACTAACCCTCGCTGTATTTGTTATCACTGTTAGACAGAGACAAGACATGTTTGTGTGTATCTGTCTGTCCATCTGCCTGTCTGTCTGTCTGTCTCTTATCTGTCTTTCTGTCTGCCTAGAGTGTATGTATATCGCACCCCTTGAAGAATGATTTTATGACATCTGTTATCAGCTCGGTGACATTTGATAAATAGGTGCTCGAGGAAAACAGGCTTTATTTGTTTTCACTGATACACACAAACATGTTTCTGTCTGTCTGTCTATCTATCTATCTGTCTGTCTGTCTTTGCCTGGAATTTTTGCGTTATCCTAGGTAATTTACACTATGTATTATAACTGTATTTATGTGTACATGTGAGACAGATATATAGATAGACAAAGATATAGATAGAGATAGACAGATAGAGATATAGACAAAGAGACAGCCAGAGATAGCCAAAGCAAGCCAACCGGCCAGCCTGCCAAATACATAAGAACATAAGAAAGAAGGAACACTGCAGCAGGCCTACTGGCCCATGCAAGGCAGGTCCATGTCACCCTCATCCCCCTTGACTTAGACCAATGACCCACCTAGTCAGGTCACATCCATTGAAGGAAGGAGCATGACATCAGACCTAGTAGCACAAGCTAGTCAGGTCCAACTCACATCCACCCACACTCACTCGTGTATTTATCTATTTTTACTTTCCTCTTAAAATGGGAGTGTTAATGCTGTTTGTGTTAGTGCCGTGCTGTTTGCTCTAGCTGGCGCTCAGTTGAACTGGTGCTCCCACAAGGTACTAAGTGCTCCCAGATTTTTTTAATACTGCGCACACTGAGTGCACAGACCCATTCTTTCATGTCTAGGTGACTCAAGCCTATTGTGCCAAATATGAAGGAATGAAAAATAAAACATTGATCTACATCTGGAGTGCTATGCGTGCAAACATAGATCTACATTTGGACAGTTTAAGGGTTAAGTTTCACTAGTATATGTAAAAAGTTTACTTACTGTAAGTAACACTGCTTAGCCTAACTAGGATGATATGGTTAAATAGTCATAATTTACACAACAATATTTTAGGGGAGGAAATTAGACACAAATATAACATACAAGGTATAAAATATGTACATACCTGATAATGAGTTTAGAAATTTTTGAAGATAAAAAGGTCTAATAAGAGGTTAAGAAATGGGAGGTGTAATCAGATAACAGGAAAAATTAACTGATGAACTAGCAAGAAATAAAGGAAGAAACAGTAATACAGTAAATGCAAAAAAAAACATCAAAGAGGAATGGAGAATTAGCAAAAGAAGTATATAAATAACGTGACAGTTAGATGCAGTGTAAAGAGAATTTAGTACTACAATCAAAGTGGATAAGTCAAGATCAAACAAGCAAACTGGTAGAAATTTATCAGAGAAAGACTTGCAAATTTAAGGCAGAACCTTAAAAAAAAAAAATCAAAATACACTCCTTTTAATGCAGTGGCATGATGCTGGTGAAGAGCTCATGATCTGAGAAATTGGAGTTACCCTCTCCTTTTGTGGATCTAACTCTATTACCTTTTATTTCTTAGGCATTGTATGACCCCTTTGGGTTTAATGCCTTCTCATAAATACACTAATAATCAAAATACATTGTACCTCATCTGTACAACCCATTCTTGAGCATGCATATTTTATACAAGTATGTGTGCATTGTCAGAATGAGATCATATTGCATATGAGACACTTGGGCAACAAATGTACAAGTCTCTCATTCTTAAACTTCAAAACCATTTTCATCACACTCATATTATATAGCATAGGTAACTGGAGAACGGATTTTTTTGTGCTATTATGCACAACATATTTCTAGTGGATATTTAAAGACAATAAAATATAAATATTAAATCACATTACTGTTTATACAAATGATAAGGTAAGTTTTTAACCCTTAAACTGTCCAAACAAATTTACGTTCACATGCGTAGTGCTCCAAAAGTAGATTTACGTTTTTTACATATTTTCAATTTTTTTTTTTTTTTTTTTTTTCAACAAGTCGGCCGTCTCCCACCGAGGCAGGGTGACCCAAAAAAGAAAGAAAATCCCCAAAAAGAAAATACTTTCATCATCATTCAACACTTTCACCACACTCGCACATTATCACTGTTTTTGCAGAAGTGCTCAGAATACAACAGTCTAGAACATACACACATAAAGATACACAACATATCCCTCCAAACTGCCAATATCCCAAACCCCTCCTTTAAAGTGCAGGCATTGTACTTCCCATTTCCAGGACTCAAGTCCGACTATATTTGAAAATATAAAATATTTTCATATATTTTCAAATATATAAAAAAAAGTAGATCAAATTTTTTTTTGCACATTTTCAAATGTAAAAAAAAGAAAAGAAGATCTACTTTTTTTACATACTTTCAAATGTTGAAAAAACGTAGATCTATGTTTGGACAGTTTAAGGGTTAATATACACAAATATTTTATTGTAGAAGTACAGTAGAGCATATGTGAAGAATGCTTATCATTCATCAATACAGTACATCACATTTTAAGTCTTTATTAAATATTCTGTGTTCTAGCCAATGTCAGAGATAAAGTTACCCGATACACAGAACTAAGATTATTTATAAGAACAAAGTAAATGGAGATTTTCATTAACTTTTACTCTCAGGTAACACCTGCAATTAGGTGACAGTATTGACTGCAGAGAAAAAATTAATTTCTTTCATTTGAATTTTGTGAATTTGTTAAAAAGGAACATGTTAAATAATAGTCTATAATCTATCATCTTATGATGAAATTATGGATTGCTTTGAGATAACGTAGCCCTGACATTTGCTTTTAATATGATTTTATTATGCACTTCTATTTATTACCAGAATTAATAAGTAATTCACCACATTGGATATACAGGAAGGCCCCACTGATACAGCAGGTTAGGTTTCTAGCCACAGCTGTAAAGTGAAACATAATCTCTTCTCATCTTGTTTTTTTTTTTTTGTGTGTGTTTTTTTTTTCTTAATTTCAGATGCATATACAAGCCTGATAACATGTTTACACTATCACGTATATTAACCCTTAAACGGTCCAAACGTATATATACGTTCACGCGCGTAGCACCCCAAACGTATATATGTTTTATTTTTCATTCGTTCAAAATTTGCGCGATAGGCCTGAG